TCTGCCTTGCCCCCGGGCCGTCCGCCCGAGATCCCTTCCTGGTCCTCTGCCGTGTTCCTGGGTTGTCAGCCCAAACCCGTCCTCCTGACCCCCTCCACCCACCCTGGTGGCCCCTAGTTTTGTGTCCCTCCTCCGGTCCTCCGGTCCCCCTCCACCCACGTTGTTGTTCTTTTTTATGTTTGTTGGACTGTTTTGGGACGTCTGGGATCCGTCCCTTGAGGGGGGGGGGTAATGTCACGATCTGTCTGTATTGTATTTTGTCTTGTTCTGTCTTTTGTTTTATTTTGAAAGGTCTTCACCTCCTGTCTTGCCTGTTTCTGGCTGCGTTGTGTCTTGTCTAGATCTGTCTTTGGTTTTCTGTCTGCGTTGTGTCTTGTCCAGATCTGTCTTTGGTTTTCTGTCTGCGTTGTGTTTTGTCTTGTTTAAATCTGTCTGTGGTTCCCTGTCATTAGTTTCCCTGGTGTGTCTAATTTACCCGATTGTGTTCACCTGGTGTCCCTGTGTTTTCTCCTCCCTCCTCAGCTGTGTCTTGTTTGTATGATTAGTCTTGTGTGTATTTAAGTTCTGGTTTTCCTGTCGGTCTTGGTCGGTTCGTCTTGTGCAATGACTAGTTCTTCGGTGAGTGTTCTGTTTTGTCTTTGTTTGCATCGCATAGCCTTGAAATAAAGGAGTTTTTTCAGTTTATATCTGCATTTGGGTCCTGCCTGCTTCACACACCGTAACAGCCCAATCGAGTTAGGGCAGAGAATCTAATCTTTACTCTACAAAAACAATCACTTGCAATGCTACTAAGTTAGCTGCTAAGTGGTAAACATAGGACAGCATTTTGCGAAAGAGACCATTTTCTCCTCTGCGTGCGAAACCAGTCAAAATTAGACTCAAATGTACGAGGTAGACACAAACAGGACCAAATGAATGCTTATGTTGCTCCATATTTATTTGATGTTTAACTAAGTTTTCTATCAAGGTCATTATAAACTTCACAAGCTGTTAATACGTAATTGTTCCGTTTACAAAATCAGTTATTGAAATATTCATTGAAATTAAGGCCAGACAGAGAGGCCCTATTTTGTTAATGTTTTAATATTGTTGTTTTATTGGCTGGAGATTTTATTATTGGAACACAACAAAAGATGAAACAATTTCCCAAATAGGTTAATTAATAAAAATGATTTAAAGCTGAATGTATTTCGACTTTCACATAAATCTTATGACAAAGTTGGTTAACAATGTAATCAGTGAATCCACTTATCACCAGCATACTTAAGATTCACATTCATTGGTTTAGACAATATGTTTCCAACAAGTGAAAGACTAGAAGACTAAGATTAAGGTCAGACAGTTTTCACGCAGGTATGTTCAACAACACCGACGCCAACGAGCACAAAGCTGAACAGACTCCCCTGACATTTGTATCACCACACAGTTCCATTACTGATTTTAACCCACGGCTATTCTTTTAAACAAATATCTTGCTCTATACTTAGCCTTGACATATCTGAGCCTACCACACACAGAGCCATGTTTCCTTTGGCCTCCGCGGTCAACCCATCCAGAACAGTGAAGCATGTGGCCTGATATTCAGAACAGGAAACCTTGAAAGAGTGAGCTCAGTGAAAAACAACCAGCAGACAAAACAACATCCAGATAACGGTAACTACACTCACAGTTGCAATAACAGTCACAAAAAACAGGAATCAACCTCTTTTGGCTCTCTGTTGACCTACTTTGTTTTCTTATAATCTTGCCATTGAAAGACTTCTTATTCATAAAATGTCAGTCAGACATACCTTTAATTCTTTAAATTGGCCAGACGTGATGCTATCTGTTCAAGTCAAAATTGAAAACAACAACAGAGTTTGACTTGATCTTCAAACAACTTCTCTTAACACGATTAAAGACATTGCCTGTGATGTAAAATAAGCTGAGAGAAACTCCATTATTCTGCATGGAAGATAAAAATGTCAAAGCCAAGTTTGAGTGTTTTGCAGCGTGGCCGGAGCACGTTCCTCTATCAAGCTGTTTCCTTTAGATATCATGGAGTGGAAGTTTTGGCCTTGGTGCTGTGATGACTAGACTGACAGCACACACACACACACACACACACACACACTTTCCCTGGTCTGTTTTGACAGACAAAATACTCCACACACACACTTTAACTCTGTGTTTTTCCTAGGTCAGACGTTCTAAAAGGGGTCCCTACTGTACGGCGGCAGCACAGACAGAGAACGTACCCATATTAGGAAAAGAGCTGACGTCCTTATATGGAAAGGCTTCCTCTGTAGTAACAGCCCTGTCTGCTGGCTCCTCTCTCACATTCCTCCTGCTCCAGGTTTCTCTGGGAGTTTTTCATTTCCGATTCCCTGGCTGAAGAAGGAGCAGGGCCGCCTTTCATAAGAGTCTCGCCTGGTGTGTGATCCCCCTTATGCAAAAAATACACAAACCTCCGTCTAGCCCCTTTCCTGCAATCCTCCACTCTGGGGTTTGATGTAGTAAAATAAGCCTGGACAGGGCACACCTGGCCTTTTTAAGTTTGTCATAGACTAAACCTCATTAGGCAGGTGACAAGCCAGAGAACATAGTCTTTGTTCCCGTAATATCTGCCCCTCATGCTTTCATGGGCCGTACTTTCACTCAAGTCGACTCAGGATTTTTAATCATCATTTGTCCTGACCCCTGGACAAAAAAACACCCAAGTAAAATCCCCAAGCTTTTGTTTTCAACCGAATCCTCCTTTTAGGTAAAGCAGTCTTATGCTGAATTCAACAAAGCTCCATTACGGGAAGAGCCATTACCTGAGAACGTTTTCTTTGTCCCTGAATACCTGCCCTGCATAACTTGGCAGGTCACTCAGCTCAGGTAGCGCAGGAAACAGACCATTAGGATCATCTTGTCAGATTAACTGCAGAAATTAACGACAGACATAGCAAATATTATTCCAACCATTTGCTAAATCCATTAGGTTAAGTGTCATATGACTTGTATCATTTATAAGTATCATAAATAAGGGAATCTGGATGAAGAAGGTACATATTGTAGGTTCTTCACTTTAATAGCTCTGCTACTTTAGTCTTCTCCTCCACTACATTTCACAGGCAGATATTATACTCCTTTACTACACTACATTTATAAAGATTTCGCTTAAAAAAGATAAGCCATATAATGCAAATCATTCTAAAAATATGAATGGATGGTTCCCAACCTCTTTTGCCCTGTATTAAAGAGATATTTCTGTTATATTTCAGATGCTGACATATGAACAATTGTTTGAATGACCCAATATTTCCAAAATAAGCAAAAAGAAGAATGAAATGTTTATAAACTGTGTATCAGAACCTTGTTTTTTCATCTTTCCCACTCAAAAGATCATCTCCCGACCCCTTGGATTTATCTTATGACCCTCAGGGGGGCCTCAAGCCCTAGATTGGGAAATACTTTACTGTACACACTGTAGTTACAACTAGCTCCACCTGGACCATTTATAATACTTAGAAAACACTTTGCATTGCATTGACCTACAAGTAATAACAATCTTACTGTGTATATACAGTCACTAAGGCCAAAAACAAGTATTATTATAGGACTTTTAATAAACAGTATTTTTTACATTATTGTATAGCTGTTACTTCATTAACAGATTGAAATGCTTCTTATCTTATCTGTATATCCTAGGTATCATACAAAAGGAGCAAAGAGAAGTGTTTGTGAACCAAATGCTTCACTCCTGCTGCACAAGAGATCATAGTATGCTCATAATGTGTTTTCATATTTAGTGCTTAAAGCTGCAGTTCAGCCACTGATGTCAGTGCACAAAAATGCCATGGCGGTGTCCAAGATGTAACCACAGGAGTACAGAAGACAAACTAACAGGAGGCAGGCAGCGGGGGCCAAGCACCTTGTTAGATAAGCAGCTCAAGTTAATGAGTCAAATGAACTTCCTTTCCCTAACAGCATGCTGCTAATGTGTTAAAGTCTGTGCGCCTTTGAAGCTGAGGAATGCTGTAGTGGGCTTACAGTGTTAACCACTCATCACACATCAAGCATTTTTATTTATCCGTCTCATGTGGATTCATCTTTAAGAGTTTTTTTACTTTTCTTCTTTCATTCAAAGCTTTTTGTGCCTTCACTTTTGAACTGAGCTGAAAAAAAATGTTCTTCATCTTTTTTTGAAATTAATATTTATAGGTACCGGCTGTCTGTTTGTGAAGTCAGTCTCCAGGAATTCCCAGTGTGGGGTCCCAGGCCTCTAACCAGACTTAACCTCCCATTCCAGATGAAAGCCCGCTCTGAGAGAGAGCCGGTGTTGTTTGGCCGAGCAGCAGAGCCTTGCCTTCAGACAGCAGGAATGTGGGATGTCTGGAGTGGGGGTCAGGAAGCGAGGAAAGAATGCCAAGTATGTCCATGTTTGTCCAGGGCTGGCTCTCCATTCAGCCCCCAGTGACGTGCTACGAGGGCCAGCGAGTATAAAGGGAGCCGGTCTCCGCAGTCAGAACTCAGATCAACTCCTTCTACCGAAGCTAACCTCTAGCTTTCACCAAGAGAAAGAAAAGACTGTGACCGGAGCTGAAGAGAAACTCCACGAGACAACAGATCAACTTGATCAGAAACGGTTTCTACGGCTCAAACTCTGAGACTAACGGAAGACTTTCTCAACGAGACTTAAGGAAAAAATCTATTTCTACAAGGAAGAAAAGATGTCCGCTGGAATGAAGAAAATGATTTTGCTGCCTTTCCTGTGCATCATGCTCTCACACATGGTAAGTCAAAAACAAATTGAGAATTACATCTCACTGCTGTTCTTTTTAAACTTTTAATATAGTCTTAAATTCAGTCTTTAAACTCTTTTCATAGTGACAACATGTTAAAATGACTGTGTTCTCTATGTGCTGGATGTGAAACTATAACTTTGAAACACTTTGTGGAGATGATATTTAAACAAGTGTATCTGTATGTGTTCAGGCTGCAGGTCAGGAGTGCAGCAACCAGTGCTCGTGCCCCTCCACCACCCCTCAGTGCCCCCCAGGAGTGAGCCTCGTGCTGGACGGCTGCGGCTGCTGCAGGGTGTGTGCCAAACAGATGGGAGAGCTCTGCACTGAGAAGGACCTCTGTGACCCCCACAAAGGCCTCTACTGTGACTTCGGAGCCCCCATTAACAGACGCATCGGAGTGTGCACAGGTGAGCCATTGACATTTGTTTTTCTGCGTCGCCCTGCTGTAGATCATTATCTCTCCTTTTAAAGTTTGAACCAAATCATGACCTTTCCCTTGTCGTTTACCCCTAACAGCTCGAGATGGAGCCACCTGTGTGTTCGGAGGCATGGTGTTCAAGAGCGGAGAGTCTTTCCAGAGCAGCTGCAAGTACCAGTGTACCTGTCTGGATGGAGCTGTGGGGTGCGTCCCACTTTGCGCAATGGACGTCCGCCTGCCAAGCCCCGACTGCCCCATGCCAAGACGCGTCAAGGTGCCCGGGAAGTGCTGCGAGGAATGGGAGTGTGATTCTCCCAACAGACACAGCTTCATGGGCTCTGCTTTGGCCTGTAAGTTCTCTTTTGAGCACCCGAAAGTGTAGTTAATTCAATGGACTTTACATAAAGAGGAGGCATTATCAGATGATGTTTCTAATCCAGTGTTTGCTCCTGTGTTTACAGCTTACAGAGAGGAAGAGACCTATGGCCCCGACCTCTCCATGATGAGGGAGAACTGCCTGGTTCAGACTACTGAATGGAGCGCGTGCTCTAAGACTTGCGGCCTTGGGGTCTCCACCAGGGTCACCAACGATAACCGCGAATGCCGCCTGGAGAAACAGAGCCGGTTGTGTATGGTGCGACCATGCGAGTCACAGCTGGAGCAGAGCATTAGGGTGAGTTTTTGTTCAAAAGCACTGCTTTCAAAACCTCAACAGAGTCAAAGTGAAATGGCAAATACTCAAAGAATACTTAACTAAGTTGTGTTCCCTCTTCTTTTACTCCTACAGAAAGGGAAAAAGTGCATCCGTACTCCCAGACTCTCCAAGCCCATGAAGTTTGAGATCTCCGGCTGCACCACCACCAAGTCCTACAGGCCAAAGTTCTGCGGCGTGTGCCTGGACGGCCGCTGCTGCACCCCCCACAGAACCACCACCCTGCCCATGGAGTTCAAATGCCCAGATGGACAGTTCATGAAGAAGCACATGATGTTCATCAAGTCCTGCGCCTGCCACCACAACTGCCCCGGCGAGAACGACATCTTCGAGTCAATGTACTACAAGAAGATGATGGGAGACATGGCATGAGCCACTTAAAGAACAATCGCAGCTTATGACTTGAAAAACAAAACTCCATCTCATTTTGCAGCTCATTATATATGTCTATGTTTTATTTTCTCATTGTAAAAGTAGTCCAGACACTTGTCTAAGTGTCGGTGTTTTTTGTACGGCTGGCGCACATCAGCCCATAGACTCAGACAGAGGGTTGCATAGCAGCTCCGAGAGATTTCTGCACTATAACTTCTATTTTTGACAAACCTACTGTCAGGTTGCTGCCCATTCCCCTTGAAACCCCTTTAACAGACCCGTCCTTTTTACTGTATTTTGTATATCTTATCTAAACCATGACCTCCTCTCTAAATGAGGTGTCTAATAACTCCCCCCACCCTAAGAGCCCCGACCAAACCTGGAAACTCTAAGCAGCTGTAGACCACAGCGGGCCAGTGTTCCCCTGAGCAAACAGGTCTGAATGTGTCCTGTGTGCGTGCGTGCGTGTGTGTGTGTGTGTTTTTGCCTGTTAGCACAGGCCTGAATGTCGGCCTTGTCTGCGCTGTTCACCTTGCTCCAGAGTAGAGGAAAGGTCAGAGATCCGACCAGCATGTGGATGAGAAAGCAAGCAGCGTGCTGAGTTTAAGGTTAGATAAGGAACACAGTGGGCTTTGCCATGGCACTGAGAAAAAAAGAAAAAAAAAGACGACTGTTACCGATTCAGGTCAGAAGAAGGTAACCAAGTGTCTATTTTGCACAAAAATAGAAGAAAAGACTGGAAGAATTGTTATTTCATTCCTTTTTTATTGTTGATGTGTAAATAATGTTTATATTTGTACAGTTTAAGTTAATTTAAAAGCAGCATTTGCTCTGTGCTTCCAAATGTATCAATAGTGTATTTTTTACTATTTTATTGAGAAGTGTGACAAAACTGTTACATGTTTCACTTTGTAGCTGGAAATAAAATGTTATATATTTTTATACAAATGTGTTCTCCGATCTTTCTGTCTTCAGCTTTGACACACATCTCCACTTTGGTCCATTGGATGTGTTACAAATAATTTCAAACTGAGCATTAAAGGTAAATGCATCACATCACAACGATCTGCATAACTAGAACCTTTTAATGTTTAATATTTAAGTGCTAGTATGAATTATGGATTAATTAACTGACTGATGTTAATATCACTCAAGTATTAGCATATGAGTTCATCAGCAGGGACTTTTCCTTATGATGAAGCATACAGATGGTTTTATTGCCACCACAGGAGTTACATGTGTTGGGTTATTGTTCCACTTTCAACTAAGTTCATTTATTTTATTGTAATGCATTATTCAGTAAATAAAAACGTTATAAAACACATAGAAAACATACATGATGCACAAGATCGGTGGCTGTTGAAATGAACCTTTATATGTTAGCTAAACTAAAAGAGGGTGCTTAAAATGTATTAGCCCATGTTTGATGCAAGGGCTTCATACTTTTCCAACAGTATACTAGCAATTGCATGATTTAAAGTAATTAATAAGAAAAATAAAAATGTTCAAGAGAGACTGTGGTGGCCTTTAAGATGTCCCTCGCTGACAGCACTCACCTTTGGAAAAGAGCATCGAGACTGTCTAATGTCGCCATCTGGTGCCCTTTTCAACGTGCTGTCATGGACTTCTTTAAATACGATTTTCAGCTTGTTTTGACATCCGTTACATAAATATTAATAAGGAGCAGACCTTTACAGCCTTACATAAATCTTGCTGTTCCACAGTTGTAATAGTTGGTTAAACAATATTTATATAATATGTCTAACAATGTCAATCCTAGCTTCTCTTCCCATCTTTTAAATGTTTGCTTAGTGTTTGATGTTAATCATGAATAAGTACTACCTTTTAATTGATGTGATTTTTTAGCAGTGCCATAGCATATCATGAAGGAAAACCATGTTTAGACTGTGTATTTGCACATATGTGTTAGGTTAGTACATACTGTCCATGGACACAGTTCCTAACAGTTTTCAGTCTACAGCAGCTATATTTATTCAAGCTGCCAGAGAAAGCAGAACTTTCTGTTGCATTTCCTCCTCTGCCCACACTCTATTCTTGTCTCTCCTCAATCCAGTTTTACTTCAGCTGAAGAGCTCTCAACATTTTTTACCGTCCAAATGCAGAGATTATTTTTAATACTGCATTTTATGAGTCCAAATGCTGGCTCTTTCTGCTTAATAGTAGCAACCAATGAATAATTTAACACTGACGCTAAAACTAAAGGTTAAATGATGTTGTCTTTAATGTTCTGCATGTACAGTGTGATGATTCATACTCTCAGCGTCTTCGCCCACAAACACACAGGTGCAGACTGTATAGTGTGATTTTTTTACGAGAAGTTCATTATGTGCTGTGAGTAAGAAACACAGTATAGTATTATGTTAAACAATTTCATTTAATTGGTCTTTACTGTTTTCTCTTTATTTTTGTGATGCAAGTGACGCCAAAAACGTACAGTTTTTTTTACAGTTAAACAATCCATTGAGATACCTAGACGGTTGTAAATGGGTCAGAAAGCCGAGTTTATTGTAATAACTCTTTTGCAATTATTTATTTCATTAAAAAGACGCATTAAAAGGAATGAATAAAACAAAGATTTCAAGTTAAACTATTCAATTTATTGGTTTTCTTACATAAATGAATTACAGTTCATCATCTTCTAAAAATGTTCACTTATTGCCTTGGCATGATTAGAGTCATCTGTATCTGTAATAAGTAAGCATCTACATCTTCATATCTGTCCCCCAAGGTAAGCATCCCAAAAAGAGCTCTGTACATGTATACATGCCGCTACTGTACAACCTCACCTTGTCTGTGTGTTTCAACCTGCATATGCCTCAACACAAATCCAATTGCTGTGTTAAAATAATTTTGAAGCAGGCGAGATACATTATGCAAAAAAAAGCTGATTGTCAAAGAAAAAAGGGAAAAACATGTTGTCAATCTACTGACAGAGGGGTTTTTCCTTCAGGAGCTTTGCTGTGTGCTCGGAATATTTGTTATGCATGTGTTAGAACGCACAGAACTTGTGCATCTGTTTGTTTTTTAGTATGCAAGTCTTACTGCTATGTGCATCTACTGTATTCTAATCTATGCGAGGGAAAGGAGGACACAGAGGAGGCCGCAGCTGTGTGGAGCAAGTGGGCATCCTCTGGAACAATAGCGAAAGATAACAAAATCTTGTCACATACTCAAACTCTCTATCTGTGTAAAACAGGCAGCCGATGAAGCGGAGGAGGACGAGGGGGCAGAGGAGGTTGCGATGTCAACTTTTTTTAAACCAATCTCTCTCTCAGCCTCGCCGCATCTCATGGAGTTTCTGGGCAACATTTTCCAGCTCTGACTCGATGGCTGCCAGGCTTTCAATCTCTGGCTCCTGCCGAAATAATGAGGGGAGAGCAAGTAGGAAAAATATTCAGCAAACAATCATGTATTTTCTTTAACAAAAGCACTAAAAGTATTTAGACACAATCAGTTGCCATTCATTGTTGTTTTGGCTGTTAGCAAGAACACCATATCACCCGAATCGCCTCCTTTAGCCTCATACTATTGCAACCAGCCACCAACTGTTACATATTATGTAACAGTTGGTGGCTAGTAAGACAAGCCCAGTATGATAAAACTTGCTGTCAAGCAGCGGCTGCGCCATTTTGTATGTTTATGGGATTTAAACTGTAGGAGATATTCTGCTTCATTATTTGTTTGTCAGTTAATCACAGAAACCTTATCAGTGTTTGGGCTTGAGCTAGCAAACCAGCTACATGCAGCTACAACAATTGCTAGTGAGCCTTGGAATGTAGAAAATCTAATCATAAATAAAGTAAAATTAACTAAACAGTTTAACGACTTGGGAAATATGTTTATTTGCTTTCTAGACAAAAGTTAAGTGAGATGATAGAATCCACTCTCATATCTGTAGGCTAACTTTCAAGCTAGCTCAAGAAGCTGTTAGCTTAGCTTAATTTAATGACTGGGAACAAGGGGAAAGAGCTAGCTTGTCTTTGTCCAAAACCCCCTATAACTTCAAATTAAGTTTTCTAACTTGATATTCAATAAGTTACATATAGTTGTTAAATCTGTAGAAAATGTTTAAAAAACATGTGCAGATTTACAAAGTAGTTATCAAGAAAAACAAGATATACCATGTTAAAATATTAGCATAAGCGAGAAAACAGTTAGAGTTTGCTACACTTTGACAGAGCCTGGCAATCTGTTTCTGCCTTGACCCGGTCTTTTAGCTAAATGAAGCTAACTTGCTGCTGTCAGTAGCTTCACATTCACTACACACAGTAAAGTGGAATCAATCTTCTATCTAACTCGCAGGAAGAAAGCAAACCAATTTGTTTCCCAACAAGTTGAACTCTGTATTAATTGTAGCTGCTTGACCGAGCCCTAACACTTGTAAGGAGATAAAGGGGTGGATTGCACACCTCTATCTTCCGGCTGCCGCTCCCCTCCTCCTCCAGCCCCCTCCTCTCCTCAGGTGTCCTTCTAGCGATCATCTGCAGCTCCTTCTCCTCTGGAGTCTCATGGGTGTTTCTCTTCTTCTCCTCCTCTTCCTCCGTGAGCTCTTGCGAGTGATGTGGCACCTCCTGTTCTGTGTTGAGCTCCTTTCCGACTGCTTTCTTCCTTAACGCCAAAGCCTTGCCCCTTTTGGTCCATCGCTTCAGGCCCCCCTCCTTCTTCATCTCGCTTTCATCCTCTTCCTGTTTCTTCTCTGGTGCAAATCTCTTGACATCGTCCCATTCTTCTTCAACAAAGGTCTTCTCTTTTGATTTGAATCTGGGAGCATCTCCCTTTTCACCAGATCCAGCACCTGAATATGAAAATAAATAATGATTTTTTTTTACTGTGACACTTCACTACAGCAGTCTCATACTCTCCAACATCAGCAAGATTCCACTTCTCCTAATGAAATATGTCTTGCCAGCTGGCAGCTCTGCTTTATGAGAACTAAAAGCATGGCTGGGGCATTTAGATGACTTGGCAGAGGCTCACTTTTAGAGAAAAGGTATTTCATTGTATTTTGCCATTTTAGCTCAGAGAAGAATAATCCCTCTGTTAATCTGTTGAAAGGTCTGGAGATTAAAACCACATCTTGATTTCAGTCTCGACATAAGGATAGAGAGTAAGGTTAAGTAATCCAGCTGTAACTAGCTCATTTGAATTCTGGGACGTGCAGACATTTAATCATCTCTGTTGGTGTGCTGCTGTCAGTTTGCCAGCCTGTTGGCCCCCTCCCCTGTCAGGGGGCTGATTTCATCATGCAGATGGAAGCACTTCCATCAATCACACAGTCCTGTGGAGGCAGGCGGTTTCAACTACAAAGCTTTGCACTCTCCCTATCTAAAGAGTCGGCTATCTGCCTTTGGTCAACTTTCTTGCATATTTTAATTAGCTTGGATGTAATTATTCTTGACATAAAAACACAAGATTTGAATGGAAGTGAAAACATCAAGATCTAAATATTCCTGTTTCCTGACATATCTTTTTTTTTTCATTTACATTTTTTTGTTTCTTTCACTCCAACAGAAATGATCTGCAAACATTAGAGAGGCATACAGTAAGTAAACAGGACATGTCTACGTGCCTTCCTTCTGCTTAATCACGTGTTCCTCCTCTGAATTTGCTCTCTTCTCTTCTTCTTCTTTCTCCCTCTTCTCAGCCTTGCCCTCAGTGGACTCATCCTCAGACTCGGAGGCGTGACTTCCTGGGCTCTCGTTCTTTTCCCTCTTCTCTTTCACCTCTCCAGCGACGTGATTGTCCTCCTGTGACTCTCCATTTCCCCGGCTGTCCTCCTTTTCTTCCTCTCTGTCTCCATTTCCATCCCTCTTCTTCTGGGACAGGATGGATCGTTCACCTGGGCCTCCTAAAGCCTCCAACATGGATCGATCTGAAAATGGGGGGGGGTTTAATTTACTAAAGAACATTGATTTTCCCGTGAGGGTAACGGAAGGTGCTTACACAAAGCACAACAGTTTATTGACGATGCCACTTCATGTCGTACCTTTCAAATCTGTGTGCTTTTACTTAATGGAGTGGGTAAGTATGTCCGGCTTTACGTGACAAAATAAAATAGTTTGATGCTTTAATGTGTCTGCCTTTCTATTTAACAATAAAAACAGAAAAAAAGATGCACAAATTAACTGATTGTTTAATAATAGATAGAAAAATGCCAATTTTGAGGTTCCAGCCTCTTAAATGTTAACATTTGTTTTGTATTATTGTAAAATAAATGTTGCCCAAATGAAACAACTTGAAGACCTCATCTTGGGCTCTGGTAATTAGTAATAGCGTCTTTTGTTCACAACAAATAATCAAAAGGTTAATCAACAG